ATTAAGTGCAGCTAGTGTACCAATCTCGCGTCTGGTCGATCTTGCGCACGTACCGCTTGGAAGCGTGCTCAAAGGGGAAATCAGCTTCAGAAAGAAAACGCCTAATGATGTCGATGAAATCTGAAGGTGTTTGCGCGAAGCGTCCATGCCGAGTGATAAACCTACTCAATCTCCCGAACACTTGATCCACATCTTCATGACTATGCCCACTCCTCAGTGAGCTGAGCCGGGCTTCCATCACCACTCCTCAGCCGGCGCTCGCTCGTTCCATACCGTGACCCCTTTCACTATCATACCCAAACTCTCCCAACCCACCTCCAGGGCCCATAGTAGGTGAACTAAACATGTCAGAATCGTAATCAAACACCAAGAGTCCCTTGCTTACAAGACTGGCTAAAAATTGCACCATTGTATTATTCTTGCACTCACGTGACGTGTTGTCAACTTGCAGTGTCAGGATCGAATCTCTCAAACAAACACCATCTTTCTGAAGCTGTGTGAGGACGTGGCCCACGATCTCCACATGGGTTGTGGAGTCTTTTGGAAGGTCCGGCTCAGATACGAAGAACATGACACTCCGTCCGTGGATGATACAACCCACCACGTGGGATCGAGGTCTGCTCCACTGGGCAAAATCTTTGGACTTTAGGCACGGGTGTCGGGGGTACATAAATTTCGATTGATCCATCCCGTCGCAAATCATGGTGATATGCTCCCCTCTGGCACGACTGAGTCCTCGAGAGGACCAGTAGGATAGACGATCCAAATACTGGTGGTGCAAATGATTGTGATATTCTTCCTGCTGTTTCAATCGTGCGTTCAGATGATGTCCCAAATTTCGAACTGCCATCTTGTGCTTGACACAAACGGCGCATTCTGGATGTTGGCGTACACCTCTGAACTTGAGGAATGGGTAGTCCGATAGCCATACCTTACGGTTCTTGGTGCTTTGTGGATCGGTCTGGCACTGGGCGTCTATAGAAAGAGACAAGGTCAGGAATCAAGAACCATGTCACGAAATGCACATTCAAGCCACACGCCAAAATAACGTGAACGAAGCACACTTGAAAGTGCTCTCACGGTATCTCTGCCGGTATTGTTCACAATAGTCTTTGAGTTGGCCTGGGGGTAACCATCTAGCTTCCCTCCCTTGCTCATCGGTGCCATCAATCTGGATAGCTCGACCCTGGTTCAATTTCACTGAACCTTTGTTTTTCCGTGGTTTCTGTTTGGTCTCTTTCTTTTTCTGTTTTAAAAGGATCTCAGGCTTTTCAAGGAGTTCCGCATATGGATCAGCATCCTCTTCTGCCGCAACTTCGAGCTCAATGGATTCGTCATACGTATCATCTCTGAAGTCAGGAAGAGTTTCAGCTACAGAGTGATAGATCTCGCTCAAAAATGATGCGACCGAAGCTCTCACCGCACTGTCAGACTCGGATTGTGGGCGAGTCAGATATCTCAAATCCCCTGGAGGCACATCCAGACCCTCCAATACAGCAGATTTCATCCGATTGAACCTTCTGGACCCTCGGCAGCAAACAAAATGGATGCACTATTATCCCCGGCGCTCCCAACTTTGCCAAAAAGGTTTTGAAACTTGAATAAGCAGGGCACTATCATCTGGAAGCATTACGTTTTTTACATGTAGTTTCAAAAAATTAAAAAGAATCATTGTCGCACACCTGGGAAACCGAGTGTCCAATCCCATGAAGGCGTTTCCACGCTTTCAGACAGACTCGCCGAGACAGTAACATCCACGCGTGGCCTTCTTGCTGCTCATGCTCCCGTATCCGGTCGAAAACCTGAGGCGTGGCAAGCGGCTGCTAGGCCTCTAAAAGGAAGCAAAATCACACAAAGTTAGACTTTGGCATGGACAAAACTTAGTTGGCTGAATGACAAGAAACAACCCTGTCTTGATCTAGCTTGTGAAACTTGCACCAGTCAGATCGAAATCGCAAAAGCTCGGCATACGGTTGCCCATCTCTGAACTGATCGTAGCATCTCGATTTGGAACAACCACACTTTTTCCCCAGGACTCCCCGCACGTTCTCGTCACTGTCCAGAGGAGTTCTCTTTCGTTTCAGATTCACTGAAACTTTGGGTGGGGCTGGACCACCGCCTTCCTCGCTGCTGCTGTCAGTCACTTGCTCCACTGAGGGCAGCCGCTCTGACATGGCAATTGGCAAATGGCAAACACAAAAAATAGCAAACAAAATTTCAAACACTCTCGGGTAGCGAAGGCAATGCAAAGTTTGCTACTGGAGTGTTTGGTTACAAAGCAAAGGCAAACCGTAGTAACAATAAATTAACTTCGACATGCAGTACGCCCGCCTGTCGGTGATTCAGGGCCATAATGTGCAACAATCATGGAACGAGCGTGGTGGAAAAAAAAACAACGCTTTCAATCCAAAACGTACGAAAAAAACATCTAACATTTGGCGAGTCAATTCCCCGAACACCCTTGGGAATTTCTTGCAGTAAATAGCCGTCAACAACAGCATCCAACACAGACCGTCCCAGATTTCTTGGATATATTATGGCTGTGGCCGGCGGCCTGGTACGAGTTTTCGTTGAAAGTTACGCCAATTTATGAGGACAAACAAGAACAATGTCCAGAGACACCCCCTCTCAGAAATTGAAAATGGAACAGTGCACAAATAGTAACCCCCTTTGTGCCCCAGTGTTTGTATAACCAAACATCCAGAGTGCAGGGATTCTTTAATGTGACAAAGCTTTGTGCCAAAAATGCATGGCAGCCCCTGTTCTCTCTGTGGAGGCACAGCATGACTCCAAAGTAGCTCTAGATCCTGTGGGTTCAAAGCATCAAGTGTGAGAACCCCATTCAAAATGGGAACCCCATTCAAGGGAAAATTCTTTTAGAGCGTCCACAACCACTGTCTAAGACGCCATAGCCAGGAGAACTGACCAACAATTGCTCAATGTTCAATGCTGGGGAGGTGACAGGTGCAGTGTTTACTGTCTTGAGTACCTCCCTGCGCTCACGCAACAATTGCAGCGAAAGCCACGAACTTTGAGAATCGACCATGGCCACGAAATCCTCTACAAATGCAGCACCACTCTCACCACCTTTCCCTGCTGCATAGCCAGAAGAGGAGGAAGTTGATGGACCCTTTGCAGATTTGCCACTTCCCTTAGGCAGCTTGCATTCCCGGGCCCAATGTCCAACCTGTCCACAGCGATTGCAGCGAGTTCGACGTTTCATTTCCTCGATCTCGACCTTGAAGCTTCTTTTGGAATCACCTGCTTGAGTGAACTTGCGGGCACGCTTCAAGCTCACCATTTCCTTCCGGCGTTCACGCCAGGACACAGCAAGTGCTTCAGCCACTTCTTGCTCATCAAAAATCTCATCTGGATCAACTGGGGCGTCCTGTTGATGCTCTGCAAGAAACTGTTCCAAGTCAGCGATCGTCGCATCCGCTTCATCCCAATTGGGAGGAAGCTCATCTTCTTCATCAACCATGGCGACAGCAGCTGAGGGACGTTTCTTGCCGATGATCAACTCCGGATAACAGGATCGCATCGCCCTGCCAATCTCCTCGCGCTTGAGCACTCCGAGTGATCGGGAAAGGATGACAGCTTTCTGTTCATCTGTCAATCCAGCCCGGTGAAGAATGATCCATCCACGGGCTTCCTCGGGGAAAGCCACATTGACTTTCCTCTGCACCCTATCAAACAGCTCGGTGGCGCGAGAGATCCACGCCTTCAGTGACTCTCCTTCATGGGCACGCAACTGAAACACCTCAGTCAAGGCTTCGGACATCTCGTCCGATTGATCCTTTTGAGGGAATCGTTGATCAAGTAGTTCAAAAATGATCTTCTCACCTCCAGCCTTTTGGTATGCCGACTGCTCAAGATGCTCGACACATTCCAGCGCTTTTCCAGCAAGTAAGGCGTAAACATATGCACCTTTGGCACCGTCGGGGATCTTGTCGCCGAGAGTGAGGATCTTGTTTGTGACCCATGTCCGCCAGCGTTTGTACTCTTTGGCGTCTTCGGTGTCGCCACTGAACGTTCGCAGGCCTGAGGATTCGTTCGACGAGCTCATGGCATTCATGCTAACCTATCCAAGGAATCCTATCCTATGGAGCCCCGGTCTTCGGGGCTCCGCTACCAATATCGAAACCGCGAGTTCGGATCCTACCGAAACAAACGGGCTAGCTTGCGCTCCATTTTCTCTCGAGCGAAACAGCTGTCCCTGGGAGCAAGACCGTGGTGGAGCATATGGCATTCATGCTGGGCAACAAGATATATATATATATATGCTACCCCCCCGTTGTACCTACTTTTAGCCCTTGTCTTCTTGGCAAATGTTGTATATAAATATATGCTAACCCTCTTCCCCAAAGATCTACCATGTTTGCCTGTTGCATGCCTGTTTGAGTGATATTTTCAGATATCAGATGAACCTTTTGGACAACTTCACTGATTTCAGAGAGCAAATTGAACAGCATAATTTTGACCATATTGTGGTCTTTGACTGGGTGTTCGTTAAATCATTGATTGGTTCTAACTGCTTTCTATCACCGGCGCCTATGATGATGTTATTGTCTTCGTGTGTTCAGTAAAGTTTTAGAATTTAAAGATCTGTCATATATATATAGAGAGATTTGATTTCATCAAAGAAGATGACATCAAAATTGCTATGCTCAAACTCTGGTAGTTCATCCCGGTTATGAACTGGAATTCTATGTTCTAGGTTGTTGGGTCACCTTCTATTTCTTGACTTAACCGGTTGTGAGGCACTACAACAAACAACATGTGTTTATGCACCTTGTTAAAATACTGACCTAGGTACAGGAGGGGGGCCCGCCATATGAATATAATATATATATATACAGTATATATATATGACATATCATTATCCTCCCGCCCACCCCACTCCCTTGTACCAAGGAGTGCATCATATCCACATCCTCTGAATCCACAAGACTTAAAGCGATGACAGTTTCGCGGCAGCCGTGAAAGACAGAACACTCTGCCTTCACCTGGAGGAGAAATCACAAAGAATGCGCCATCTCTGGAGGAGGTCACTAAAACCTCAGCAGCATGGCTATTCATTGTTCGTTTGGCATCCAAGAACGCTTGCATCTGGAGCAATCTTGCCTTCAAACATCTTAAACAGGTAGAACTGCAGTACTAGGCAATCTCTGGCAAAGCTGGGAGGCGGAAGTTTCTGCCAAAAACTTGCTATGCCAAGGCTTAAGGTTGCTTTTATGTGCAATGTGATGTTCTCATGTGTGGTGAAGTCATGTGGTTGATGAGAACCCTCCAAAAGCAACCAAACCAGAACTCCAAGCAGGATCCCACAGACTTCTAGGGTAGCCGTGTCCCTCTCACGCCTACACAGAGGTGCTTGAAAGAGAAGAGAAGACGATGATGACAGTGACAGGCAGTACATGAGAGGGAAGCAAATGAAGTTGCAAACCGAGCACTCTATGGAAACTAGGTTGAGGAACGACGTAAGGCGATTCAAATTGCGAGCAACTCATGTGAAACCGCAACGCGGTAATCCGCGTGCTACTGTACAAAGGGTGCGAAGGCGAGAGCATAAAACGGGGCCCAGAAGGCAGCCTCCAGTCATGGCTGTAGCAGGTACACGGAGGTGATCAATCTCCCATTCCCCCTTGCACAGGTCGTAAGCCAGCAGTGAATCCAAGACTGTCCGTACTTGTAACCTCTCCCAACACTGCGCCCACCTTCCCGGCAAAAACACTGCGTTCTGAACGTCCTCTATCTTTTCGTGTGCACGTATCCTGATCGATGCCAGTTTTTTTCATTATATACATGCATGTGACTCGACTTCGAGCGTGTTTTGTTTCCGTCACTAGGAAGTGCCTCGACTATTTTTTTGACAATATAGTGCATACAATATATGTACTCTATATTTCCCATTAACAAGTACTGAAGAGAAGTGACATGTCATATATGTTTGGGATAGTAACTGACATGTCCAAACTGCTTAGCTAAAGATTCTTGGCATCTTCAATGGTCTTGCAGTAAGTTGGCAAAATGCCTTTGTAGGCGCATAGCAATTCCAGCACGAAAGATTTGCTAAATTGTTTGTTTGCGATTGTGCATTTCTTTGCCAAGACACCTTCAAAGTTGCATCGAAACACAAATTAAATCCAAGGCCAACCTTGGATTAGTGATTTGTGTGACATGCATCCCAGGCTTCGCTGCCCGCCTTTTCGATCGCCCTATGAAGAGTCGTATCCGAAGAATCATGGCCCCCCACAAGTGATTTGCAAATCCCATGATCCACCTGGATTCATTCGCCTCGACGCCAACCACTTTGGATGCCACAATTATCTCCCTCTGCAATCAATTCTGACGGATCCGCCCAATCAAATCTGCTGAATCCAAGAGCTGTTTGCGACACAATGAAGGTTGGAGTCGGTTTCTCAGAGCTCGGCTGCAGCAGTGTGGTATCCTTCAAGAGGTGCACATCCTGACGCAAACGTAGAAAAAACGGAGACGCAAACGTGCAGCCAGAAGGGCACTCTTTGCCATGGAGAAACGGTGGAAGGTTATTGTGTTTTATGGGACATGATGATGTACAATAGTACCACTGCACCATTTCTTCTTCCATGTTTATCAAGCGGGTCAAGAAACAGGATCATCTCTTTCAAAAGGTGGACTTCTCTAGTCAGTTATTTTGTTATATCATATAGATACTAAAAAAATGTTGCGCGCTTCTTTTATGCGTCTGGAGCCTTCAGTGCGGTATCGAGCATGTGTGCATGTGCTCAACCATGTGATGACTGGCTAGCTTCAATGACTGGAATCTTGGCAAATACTGACAAGCGCCGGATGGTTGAGCTCACGCACTGCACGCAGGGCCTCAAGTGCCTAGTAGCCCGATTGGCTACATTTCCACAGCCTCTCGTGCTCCATTCATTTTTCAAGCGCTCATTCATTCGCTTCTTCTTTGACTTCATCGACTCTTTTCTTCCACAGCTCTGAAACCCTTCTGGCCTGTTCCACATCCTCTTCAAGCCCTGCCAGTTCCCTTCTCAAGCTGTCTCATCTTCTGTTCCACTGATTCGCTGAATCTTCCCCGGGGCGTCATTGTTCTTTTCCTTCAACACAATGATCTTGAGATTCAGCTCCACATTTGCATCACGGGCTTTCATCGCCTGCTTTTAACACATTTGTTCATCTTCTTTCAACACTTTGATCTGTTCCGCCTGCTCTGCAAGTGCAGCTTCTAGCACAATGTTCCACTGCATCCGCACTTTCTCATCATCTTCTTCATGCTGGGGCTCTTCTGGTTGTGAACTGCTCTCTCTTCCTTCTGTCTGAACCCCTTCTTCTTTCCGCTGCTTTGTTGTTGCCCGCCTGTTCACGTCAACGTGAACTCGTCTCCCATTGAACCATTGCGCAATGTTCACAACAATGCACCGTGCCAAGCTCAAAGTTCCCACACTTGCCAAACACAGCAATGTGAACAACAGCTGAATCCACCATGAACTCTCTTCGCTTTCGCCTTCTTCTTTTGTCTGGATCTCTTCAAACTCTTCTTTGCCTATCTTTTTGGCGTCTCCAACCATCTTGATCAAGAACTTGATGACTCTGTATCTCAGCAACAACCAAGCAGCATGCCTGAAGCTCGATGGGTAACAACGCAGGTCACCTGCCAGCTTCACTCCGTTCTGGGAAGCACTAAGGCGATCGCCGAGCGAGCAGCATTGCTGCGAAGCGGTGGCGGACCAGAGGATTGGGAGGAGGAACTGGCAGCTCCTCGATCTGGTTTGTACAGTGTCATACCAATTTCCATGCTCCTCTATCTCTGCGTTCTCCTTGGCTACTCCCATGTTGATAGGACCTGTCAGTACGCTCCGCACGCTCTGTTTTGCGTAGCCTGCAGTTGTCCGGCTCTCAATGGGTCGCGCGTTGCAAACTTGCACGCTGAAGAGATGTACTGCCTTTGGGCCTGCGGAGAAATGCACGTCGTGGCCTTCTCAGACTCGAGCGCAGTGCTGTATTGCTTTTCTTCTGGTACGCCAGTGGTGCGCGAAGGCTAAATGGAGGGTGCGTGGAGAAAGGGGGTCAGCAAAAATCGCTTACACGAAGTTAGTGCGTCAAAAGTACCTTCCACGAAGTTCTGCGAAGGTTTCTGGAAATTCGTTGCAGTCAGTTCTCCTACTGGCCCACCATTCCACGAACTGTCCACGAATAGCCTTGGGCTCTACGAATGTCCCACGCCTTCCACGATGTTAGTAGAATAGGTTTTTGCAAAGCCCTTTCTGTGCACTACCCTTCCGTTTGCCTCTGAGTGTGGGCGCACCCAAAATCAAAGCTGATCACATTCCTCCCGCGACCCTTTCGATCTCCACGTTCACTTTGCGTTCGGGCATCTTCTCGTGCTCGGGTTGCCGCGCACTGCTGACACCACCCTTGATAAGGCAGGCGGGTGAGCTGCAGGTGTACTTCTTGTTCACGCTTTGCTGGCAAGCTTTGGAGTCTGAACTGGAACAGCTTCACGTCAATGCTCCGAGTATAGTCGTTGCGCCACCTCATACGCATTCCTTGTCCTGGAACTTCTACTGCTGCATTCGCCTCAAGACTTCCACTTTGGAACTTGTTGTCCTTGTTTCGTCTTCCTCCATCTTTCAGCTTCAACAACGTCATTCGCGCACGCCATGCATGCTGCATGACCAAAGCTCGGGCTAGGATCAATGAAACGAGTGGCTCTTGGCTGTGAGTGCACCACACTGTGACACGGAAGCGCATGCCATCCACGAACTCGCTCTTGTATAGCGCTGGCTCCTCCTTCAAGTTTGAACTTGGTTCCACTTCTGCCACGTGCCATGTCTCACGCACTTTGCCACCTTCACTGAGCTTCCCTTCACTTCTACTTTTCCTGACTCTTCTGTAGTGTGGCCGGGCGACTGTTCAACTTGTCGTCTGCCTCCTCCATCACTCTTCTCTGATTCTTGTGGAGTCTCTGCCAACTCCTTCATCATGAGCTCAAGCGTCTCCTCACCCTCCTTCATGATCACGTCATCGTCTGTCTCTTTATTCTCTGCTCGTGTCACAACTTCTTTGTCTTCCTTTGCGGCCTTCCTCTCCTCACTCTTCTCTTCTTCACCTTCTGCGCGCGCGCTGTCTGTGGCCTTCTTGTCTCTCTGGCTTTCGTCGTCTTCCTCCTCACCAGCTTTGATGGCGCACACTCGGACGTCCATCAACAATGAGTTTCTTCCCAACCTGGCTGGGATCTTCATGCCCTTTTCCTTGTGCTCCATGCACAATCCACGCAAATCCTGTGAAACAACCCAGCCTTGCCTCAAGAGTCTTCCAAAGCTAATGGGTGGGTGACTCCAACTCCAAGTGTAAACTGCTCAACAAATTCCACTGTCTCCCCATCTCGCATTTGGCCCTGCAATCGTAGTTTCCGATTGCTGCACCTGATTGGTGCCCCTTGCGCCACCGTCCATCTCCCGGCTGTCCCAACTAGTAGAACTCCTCTGGGCAACCAAGACGTCTGCAGAATCCAACGTCATGATCACCGTTGGAGGTTCCAATGTCATCACCATGTTCACCTTCAGCGGCCTCAATCTCGCATTGGGCTCTCAAAGTAGGAACTTTTGTGTTTCCAAGCCATGAAGTACTGGTCAACTCACTCTCATCTGAGCTATGCGAGTCGTAGAAGATCTCGCCCTCATTCTCCTCGATCTCAACGACCATCACACGGTCAGCAAACGTGTGTCCTCGTCGTCATCCTCAGCCTCCTCAAACACTCCGGGCGAGTCATCCTGGGTGAGATCAAACATCTCCAAAAAGTGGCAAGTTGCTCGTCGACGCCTTCTCTGCTTGTCTTTGGCTTCCTGTTGCAGCTGAAGCCTTGGCATCCTGTGTCTCTGACTCCTCAACCTTCTGGATCTTTGTTCGTTGGTGCCCAGCATTCCTTGTGGCGAAGTGGCCAGGCTTGCCGCAATTGCGGCGTATTTCTTCCCACTCTGCGTTCTTCCTGGCTTTCCTCTTCCTTTCTTGCCTCCATCCTGGGACCAAAACATGGTGGGGTCCACAACACCTACAAAAGTCTCAAGCTGCGACATGACCGTGGCCTAAATACTAGCCTGCCTCGGACTTCAGCAAGCCGTCTCTATACGCAGAGGGATTCGTGAACCTCAAAACAGTACCCGGAGATGGTGGGGCTACCACTAGAGCTCCGCTACCATGAAAAATGTTGCGGGCTTCTTTAATGCGCCTGGAGCCTTCAGTATGGTATCGATCATGTGCTTCTCCATGTGATGACTGGCTAGTTTCAATGACTAGAATCTTGGCAAATACTGACATAGATAGTAATATATATATATTGTGTATATACATATTACGAATATTACCATCAAATTCTTCTAACACTACGACTAGACTAAACTCCTTCATGTGGCTCACCTATCCCTACACCCATGTCCTTGGCAGATTGTCATGTAGCATGCTTGTCAAGTAAAATGAGCCTAGTTTACATAATCTAAGGTTGCAATTGCTATCTTGAAATGCCTACACCTTGTATGTGCCACATAAAGGTTGCAAAAGAACCATGTATAGAAACACCAAGTGCCCTGGAATACGGCGCCGAGCCAAGAAACAGTTCCATCATAGCAGCTGGTGTAGAAAATCCGTCCCGAAGAATCTGTGGTCACATCCCAAGCATCCCAGATCCTCCCCCGATTGGTCACCTCGCACGAGCATTTCGTCTGGGTCTCAACCCCAGCTTCCGGTGCTTCGAGCAGCTAACACGCTCTCTCCAGAACAAAGCAACTTTAGTGAGGGCGCAGCTGTAGCTAGCGTTTCTGCAAGTGCTTTTGCCAGCACGGTCAACTGCAAAGACATTAGCAATGTATGTCATTGAAAGGAGAGAATCATGTGCAGTTTCTCTGGTTTTTGGGCCATTTCCATGTCTGATAAGTCATGTGTCATTGATTTTGTGGATCGTGCAGCGCAAACCCTTCGAACCGGCAGGATGCATATGCTGCAATGTGAGTTCCATCTCAAGAAGGAAACAACTATTACCATGATCGACTATAACGAAATCCTTTCTGAACCCTACGCTGTTCAAACAATGTTTTGGGCCTCGCCGGTGGCCAAGTCGAGGCGGTCCACGTTGCCGCAACCCCCCAGGATATCGCTCTGGTTCCAAGTAAAGACCTCACAGGACAGGGTTCGGAACCTGTTTGACAATTTTCTTGACAGGGAGAAACCGTCAAGTTTCGAGAAAGCAATGAAGGCCCATCCATGGTTCTCTAACCGTTGAAGGACCCAGTTCTTAGATAAAAGATGATAGAAGAACGTCTGACACTGAAGGATATTGAAGAATTTGGCTTAAGGCTTGAGCTGTCACATGCTCTCGCTAAGTATCCATGGGGTTCAAGGCAAGCTTGAACGAACTCCCCGGTCCCAGCATCTGGGAGTGTTTGTATCATGAAGCAAGCTCGAAGAAAAGGAATCACACATGTCTGTTTGCAAGATGCTGGTCGTTTTGATCTACTTGGACTTGAGACAGGGAAACACGAAAGGTAGACAGGTACCAGGAATATGAGAGCTGTATCAAGTCTCTGTGTGTGTGTGATGCGTGAAAGAAGGGACATATGTCGGAGAGGAGGGGTTGCTACAATATGTGGCGTCGTGGAGATTGCCTGGTGCCAAACTGTGGTGCGCAAGTGCGGTCGTATGTCACGCGCGCTCCGCATAAGAGTGACCTGGGTCGCGAGGAGAGGTTGCCGAGCATGTGGTGGGCCTTGTGTAGAGGCTGTGCTGCGTCAACGCTCGTTTGTGTAGAGCAATATGGTGTGTGAACGCTGGCTTGCGTAAAAGTTGCAGCCTGCAAACGCTGGCATGCGTAAGAGCTGCACGCACTGCGTCGAAGCCGTGTTGCACAACCTCATTGTAGGGGCACTGCTGTTACTGCCAGTGAATGGACATCACGCTATGGTAGGTGGGTGGTGATAGATGATGATAGTGGTGCTGGCGAGGGCACCAAAATAATTGACAAATAACTTCTTCATCACATTGGAGGGGGGGTCAATAGAATTGATATCAATATTTGGTCCCGAGCAGGCTATTCAAGCGAACCCCTTTACTTCGCAAAGCAAACTCAAGCTAGCCCTTACCTACGAAAGCGTGACCTGCCTTCACAGTTGTATCCAAGTGGCTGCATGTGATTCATCATGGATACGCAAATAGAGGCCAGCTTGGTCCACAAACTGGCAGCAAAAATAGGTTCGGTGCTCAAATACAAAGCAAGCGCCTCGTCGTTTCCTCACTGGTTCATCTTGTCCCTGCTGTTCAGTTGACACTAACATGTCATTAATTCATGAATTTGACTGCAGGCGCGGTGTTCCAAAGGCCGGATTGAACACGCAAGTCCAGTCTCCCGGGGTCTCGCAAGCGCGTTCCCGAAGCGACCCGGTCTCCACGAAGGACAAGGAGTTGATCCACATTTCTAGAAACATGATACGAAAACACGAACCTACTGATTGTTTTGTTAACTAATATTGAATCAAGTCAAATGAAAAAGCAAATCCTTTTTCTAAATTGAATTCAAGCTTTGTGCCACACGTCTTTTGGAACCCGCAACCCCTTGTGCATCTTTGCGTCCTCCCATTACAAGTTAACCCCATTCTTTCAACATACGAAACGCTCTGCCTTCTTCCCCCACTTGATGATGCCTGTGCGCTTCTGCTCCTGCATCCACTCTGACTCATAGTTAAGTCAGCGAATCTGTCAATATGCCACACGAGTTGCAGGAAGATCGGTCTCAACACTCACTTGTTGTTTGTCTTCTGAAGTTAAGTCTCGTTGTGGCACTCTATGCCCATATGATTCTGTCCTCGACCTCTTCTTTCGTCCAAGGGCTGTAGCTTTCAAACTCTTCTTTGTCTTTCTGAGCGGTGAAAAAAACTCTCTACAACTTCAAAAGAGAATGGTCTCAGCCAAACAATGATTGGGTACAAGATGGTAATTACAAGTAATTCTCATAATACATCAAATCGTAAGCGTAATCCTGAAAGCTCAATCTTTGTATGATGGCTACAGTATATCCCTGTTCAAATGCTGTCCTGCAGCCAGAGAAATTGATGAACGTGTAGATCAAATAGAAACAACGGGTTTCACATCCAACGTAGCGACTGCAGATTTTGGCTGGTCAAAATTTGAACACCCCTTGATTGATTTGAACTATCGAACATTGATATCAAATTTGTCTGCTATCCACACTGCTGACACTTGAAAACGGTGGGTAGTACGAAGACCCCGTTTGCAAACTGTGCCTCTTCTGCCCAAAGTTCCATCCTCAGCATCTGGTTGAATGATCCGGAGCTTGGAGAACTTGGAAGTGGGACTTGTTGGCAAGAAACACCAGTCTCTCTGATCAACCCAGCAAGGCAAATCAAGAAATCAAACAAAACTGCAGTCTGAGGTCAATTCATGCTAGTGCAAATTACCCATTGTCACACAAGATTTGCTGATTTCCCCTGTATATAGTGCCAATATTCTAAGTGAACAGTAATAGCCTTTTTCCACATACGTACCAAAAAAGGAAAAATCCGATTTGCCAGCAACCCCGTCCCTTGACCCAGAATCTGCTCAGGCTTGGCACATGTTCAATGTAATCCCCTCATATCAAGTGTATCGATGATGAACGGAGGGCTCAAGAAAAGGTTTGATCTGGGCTGTGGTGCTTTATTATATATGTTAAATGTAATATTATCATATTATACATTTCCACCGGCCCCTGCTAGCGGAAATCGCTCCCGCAGTACCATGAGCCATGAGCATGTCAGCTGCAAAAAAAATACACTTAATGTCCTTGCTCTTGTGTTTCTGTCGCCAAAAACTATCTATGTGAATGTTGCGATTGTCGGCCCCTCGACGGAGCCTGGCCCCTGGATCTAAACGCTTGCACTCGATGCAGCCTGTTTCTCCAAAGGCGTCGATGTCGACATGTGCCCACCCTTCTAGTGCATTGGAGGTTAAATGGCAACAGGATCATGGCATGAAGTGGCATGACTGAACATGAAAATCTCACTGGTATTGTCATGTTTTCTTTTGCCTTTGACCTCCATGCTCCACTTCCATCAGTTCCTGGCTCTTGGGCTTCTACCAGGCTGACTCGTGGATCTTCCATCCAGGTTCTCAGCGAGACTTGCCTGCATGCGCTGCCGCTGAGTGGGGTTCATCTTGGACTTCCCACCCTTTGAGCCGGCTTTGGACTTGCCGGACCCTTTTCCTTTGGAAGTGGTCGTAGGCGAAGAAGAGGATGTAGTTCCCTTCTTGCCAAAGCCCTTGTCCTTGCCAGCACCTTTTCCATGGCCTTTGCCCTTGCCTTTGTCTTTGGCAGTGGTGTAGTAGCCCCTTGACTGCACAGTCGCAGCCAGGCGCTTGCTTGTGGCCGTCATGGCCTGGTGTTCATCGCCGGCGTCATCACCGGCCTCATACTCAGGGAGTTCATCAGGCTCGAACTCCTCTGGAGCGGATGTGTAGTCTTCAGCCTGCTCATCATAGTCAGCGAACTGGTAGTCGAAGGTGTCGTCGTTCGGGTCGTTTTCATACTGCTGCTTCATCACCGGCAGTCATGAAGACCTCCTCAACTGGGTCGTCGTCCACTGGCATGGCATCAGTGTGCCATGTTTTCCAGCGGAAACTTCCGCCTCGTCCTCGACCTCGAGGTTGATGTCCTCGGCCTCGATGTCGCGGGGCTGAGAAGCGACGTGGACAGGGACTGGATGTCGTGACATCCCCGTCAACGTCAGTTCCTGCAGGATATTGGATGTGGATCGCCTCAACCAATGCTTGGAAGCTGTAGCGATTGCCGGCAGCTAGGAGCAGTTGCGAAGTGGCTCGTTCGTCAAGGCGTAGGCCATCGAGCAGCTTGACAGCTCGTGTCTCGTCCGGATAGGGCGGGACCTGAGCATCTTTGAGCTTCCTCTCATAGAGTCTGAACCTTCGGAGGAAGGCGCAGACCGACTCTCCCTGGACCCTTGTCAGGGATTCGTACTCGCGGATCAGTCCTCCGCGTCGAAACAGCTCGCGCTCGCCGAAGCTGATCTCAAGATCATCAAGGAGCTGCTGGATCCCGGTCTCCTTGTCGTAGCGCTCATCGTCCACCTCCTCGAGCTCCAAGGCGGCCTCGCCAGTGAGCGCGTCGAGCGCTCTCAGGGCCTGTTCGTTGGCCGGCAAAAACTCTTTTGTAATCGTCGTCCACCGTCGCAGGGCGCGACGGTAATGTCGCAAGCAGTAGGGCTCGTCCTCCACGTTCACCGCGAAGGTCGGCGGGGCAGGGATGTGGCCTGATCGCCACTTGCGAGAGCTTGGGCCTGGTTGGCCATGTTGTGAAGATCGTGAGCCTCTAGATCCTCTTCTCCTTGAAGGAGCTGCTGAAGAGGAAGGGCTTCCGTTAGGTCCCAACGGCCGTGCAGGTCCATTCACCAGGTCATCGTCGAAGTCATAGACCTGGTTGTCATCATCATCATCCTCCTCCATGTGGTCAGCTGGGATCGCGCCATTGAAGGCGGCGTCTCCATTCTCGTCCGCGCCATCAGCATCGAAGGCCTCGTAGAGCTCATCGAAGTCCTCGAAGTCCATCAGGCAGCGTCGAGCGCAGCGGCGCTAACCTCTGCCGCGCTACCAATGCGATTGTCGGCCCCTCGACGGAGCCTGGCCCCTGGATCTAAACGCTTGCACTCGATGCAGCCTGTTTCTCCAAAGGCGTCGATGTCGACATGTGCCCACCCTTCTAGTGCATTGGAGGTTAAATGGCAACAGGATCATGGCATGAAGTGGCATGACTGAACATGAAAATCTCAAATGTTACTTCTCGTGGCAGCATAAAAAGCTGAAAGCAGCAAAGCAGACCTGATAGCAACATGAAGGATCCCCAAAAGGGAAACTAGTACATTTGCAGCGGGTCACAGATTTGCGTGTGTGTCCTTTTTAAATGACAACTGACAGCGTCTTGTATATAGTGCGAGCTTTGGGACTGCACTCAAATCCAGTTGACATGGGTTGGACGGGTTCAGGGCTCGCAGGCTGACACGTCAACTAAAAGAAGAGAAAAGGGTCTTGAGCAGAACTCATTGGGTTTAGCGGGGTCGCAACTCCAATACTTACCAAACTTGCCTGAACCAAACAACAGGGATGGAGCAACTTCCAACTGGAAGGTGCTCGACGTAAAAGGCTATCCACTCGATCGCAGCAACGGAGCCCACAAAGGATTGTAGTTTTTGGGCTGGGCATCCTAATGTGTAGCGGGGGCCTCCAACCTAATAGCGTTGGGCTCGGCGTCCAAGAACCCTGCCTTGAAGAGGCATCTTTCAACTTTCAACGTCCTCTTTCGCAGCGAGTTGGCACACCAACCCATGGCACGACATTGATCTAAGTAGCGCTCCTGCATGTGTCGACATCTAATGTGGTCGGAGTCCATAGGGGTGGTAGTTTGGGCACCTTCCAGTTGGGCACCGTAGTTGGCTGGATAAGTTAACAGTTCTCCGTGCGTAGGAAGGGCCCATCTGTCAGACGCGCATCTCAGGCATTCTTCCTACACGGGCTATGGACGCTTAACCCAATTAGCCAAGTCTAGGCCAGATCCAGCACTGAGACACCTTCATGCTTCCAATGAAACCGACTTTCCATTTGCTCCGCAATTACTCCGCAATCCTACACACAAGAAATCCGGATGGTTGGCTTTGCTGTTCCCGAAGTCAGCGCAATTGCCTTTTCAAGATACAGTTGCGGAGATGAATTGGGCTCTAAGAAAATGCGAAAGCGAAAGGCGCAGCTTTTCGCGGCGAACGCTTGATCAAGCTGCGGGCGAAACCGAACATGCCACCAACAACCAGCACATGCCATCTTCCACATTGGGAAGGAAGGATGTTGGCTTGTTCGGATCTAGCTAATTCGACGTTGGCGCAGCCAACCTATCGTGCATGTGATGGCGCTGCCATCCTGCTTTTCGTGGCTCTGCCAGAATTCTTCTATTGGCTCTGCCATGAAGTGGACCTTGCGGAAGTCGTCATCTGCTGTGATCGAACCTTCCGGCGTTCTCGTTGTCCCTTTCTTAGCTGCTTGCGGTGCTCTTCGATCTCACGCTCCTCCGGCGTCTCCTTGAGGCTGATGGTCTTCTTCCGTAGGTATTCCTCCCACAACACGTTTCTCATGACCTTCGTGAGACCGTCAGCGTGCTGTCGATGGGTCGGTACCCAAAACAACCTGTAGATCTGCTGCTCCAGAAGGTCCTTAGCGACAAGCAGATCCAACATGGTTTGTCTTTCCGCTGGAATTTGACCAGTTGCTCCAAGATGATCGAAAAGAGACTTTGCATCGGTCACGATGCCACCGCCAACGCGAAGCTTCTCACGCCAGTCATGGCCAACTTTGAAAACGCCATGCAACATCATGTCTGCAATCAGGCGGATGTACAAGTGCCTGTCCACCGCCACACTGAGCGAGCATGACTCTGCCGCCATGGAACTTCGAACAACCCTGCTGCTTTTGTTGGTCGTGTAGTCGATTGCTGCAGCTGGTTGTGGTCCATGAATGACATCTTCATTGGACAAAAAGTGGATCGCACCTAGTTGCGATTTGCCATCCTTCTCCTTGCCCAAGCTGGCGTCAAAGTAAGTCACCAAAAACAACTTGCCACGGATCCGAGGGTACGGCAGAACAGATCTGCCTTGGCGAGCTTCTTCTTTGCATTCTTCAACAAGCTGAAGGGCCGCCTTGTAGTCACCCATCGTGGCTTTTGTTGCATACTGCGCCAGCTTGCTCGTCTTGTACAAAAGCTGCGGCATTGACTGCTGGCCAGGCCATCGCAATCTCATCACCAACTGTCGATATGCCGTGAGCTGCTGGGCATCAAGTGGCTTGTCATCATTCTTGGGCTCCAGCTTCATGCTTGGAAGGGCGATCTTGGCGATGTAGTTTGACATATCGTCAAAAAGTTCTTCACCCTTTTGCTTGAGGTCCACGCCTAGGAAGGTCAAAGGGATCGACTTCCACTCTTTGATCGTGAACATCTTGTTGATGTCACTCTTCAACTTCTGAAAGCGTGGATCACCTGCATCGCCAAATAGAAGTCCATCGTCAACATGCAAGCTGAGAATGCTCCAGGCTTTGTTGCCTTCTGCGGCCACGAAACTGCTCTTGCTAATGGGCAGTTCTTCCAGAGGTGTGGTCGTGAGAAACTTGCTGGCGCGTAAGTACCAAAGCCTTGGGCTTTCAACCAAGCCATATGCAGATCGTAGGATCTTCATCAGTTCTCCAGCTTTCACCGGAGGTTCTCCCTCAACTGCTGG